GATTGTGAATGGGAGTGATGGTGGGGCGTGGGGGGTTGTGGCAGAGGGGTGCACAGAGACGTCGTGGTGATGGTGGTGGGGGATGGTGAATGATTGACAGATTGCATCGTGGATACGGGCGACACCTGATTGGGGGGACCGGCCGGCACTTGGTACACGGTACTGGGCGCGGCCATCGGGCACCTTGAGGCCCCGGCTGCGCCGTGTTGGGCCCCATGCTGTTGTTGTTGTTGTTGCTGTTGTTGTTGTTGTTGTTGTTGTTGTTGTTGTTGTTGAATGTAGTTTGGTGGTAGACATACCTCGAGGCGGTCGGTACGCGGCATCTTCTGCGGCATCGCCACCGTCTGCGGCACCACGCCGAGCGGACTGCCGACGCCCGTCGGGTCCGCCGGACCCATTATCGCCGGCATTATCGGGCTGGGCGCGAAATACGGGCTGTACGTATTGCCAACCTGCGGCATACCGGTCAGGTACGGATTCGTCGCCTGCGAAAACACACCCGGAAGAGATCCAGGTAATACGGATTAGAAACACCTGTCCCCCGCCTTCGCTCGATTCGCGATTTCCCCCTCCCCCCCCCTCCCCTCCCGATTGTGCACGTCGCGATTACTCAAACGCGTGCCTCACATCCGAACAATTCTTATACGGAATACTTGGTAACAATCGATGGGAACGGAAAAGATAACGATAATTTTTCCTCGAAAGTATTAAATTTCGAATGCACACCGCGTCGTGGAGGAAGCGCGATTATTTATTTTCTAAATAGATTTTTTTAAAAAAAACTAAAAATATTACAAAATATACAGAAAAGCGTTACAAATTAAAATGCATATAAATAATCAGGTTTGGACAAATGTAAATATGCATTTGATCGTTTTGGCAATAATTATAACACACAGACGTATAGTTTTGATTGCAAATAATTAAGTAATGTATAACTGCTACTAGAAAAAGATTAGAAAAAGAACTTTCTTGCAAATTTCATTTCAACTCGAGTGGTTTACTTCTCCAGCAAGAAATTAATGTTTGCCCGTTTATGCCATCAATTACCAAATACTCTGTATATGCAATCTACCATTTCTAAATATCGAGTAAATTTTGCATCAAGGTACATTAGAGCTTTGCGAGCATCGTTTTCCGGTGTTTATTAACTTTAAGACGCAACATATATTATCTGATCTGCGAAAATTACTCGTTTCAATTTTAGATGAATAAACAACATTGTAAATATCTAGTGTAATAATAATATTAAATAAAGGAAAATTATATATTAATGTATATCAGAAAAAGAAAATTAATACATGATAATTTTGAATTGCTTAATTTATCAACGTGAAATTCTAGAAATGTTAAACAAATAATATACATAATAAATTTATATTAAAATATGTAATATGATAAGGCATATATAAAACGCAGAAATCATATTTTTTTCTCAATTCACACATCTTGAGCAAACGAAATCACGATTAAAATTTGAGATTACGATCAGTTTTATTTTTTTCTGAAAACAAATTCAATTCAATGCTAATCTTTTTCCAAATATTACAATAGCTTAGACAATCTCAAATTCAAGGGCTGTAAAATACGTAAAATACGTAAAATATTAATTGTAAAAATTGTTATGCACGTCTATATCTTAATTACACATTTAAAATTGCTTTATTGCCATTTGTATCTCAAGATTGTTATTTTAGCAACAAAACTGTAATGCTGATGATAAAATAATCCGTCGGAACGGACAGTGACTTTTCGAAAAAATTTTCTACGTGATAATGTGCGGGATTAACTCAAGGCGGTAAACCTGAAAAACATGCTTCGGTTCGAAAAAATGCCAAAGACGAGAATCTGTAAAGAAAGTCGCGGCTCCTCGTTTACGGATCTCGCAAAGCCTTAATCGTCCTTTTTCTTTTCTCTCCCGTACCCTCCCCTTCACTTTTAACGACAAGCGTACGTTCCCACACGAAGCGTTTGGTTTTGCAGCGAGAGCTGGCTCCCAGAAGCGAAGGCAGGTAATTTCAAGCATCCGAACGAGCAGAACACTCTTGTTCCTTCTTCTCAAAAGCCTCTGGTATCCTGGGAGCTTTCGTTGTTGTAAAAAAAAAAAAAAGCTTTCGGAAACGTGGCCAGGTAATTATTGGAAAATAATGGCTGAGCAATATTTACAATCAGCATCGCCAACTTTTCAATGTGCCAAGAAACAAACTAATATATCGAATTAAAAATATTATATAAAAAGAAAATCAATAATATATAAATAAATTCCAATTAGAGAGATTACCGAGCCTCGCATCCCTTTTCTCTTCATTTCTTTGACTCTCACAAGTTTCATATTCTTATTATGTTAATAAAAAAAAATTATTTCTATTTATCACTTAAATATTTATCATTATATAATGTTAAACACGAATGAAATATAAAATATTTTTAAGAGAGAGAAGAAACATTCGTCGCGTTTTTTTCAGAGCCAAAGAACGCGCAGATTTTACTTAGCCGCAAATACTTCATGCTCTACTCTTATACAGGAAAACTTTGAGAGAACATGGACAAACAAATTTTCTTTCCTCAATAAACAAACGAAATATTTCGTAAAGCATGCAAATAAGTTATTTGACTTACTATGCGGCGCGCATTTTAAAATAAAATAAAAATTTAAGCTTTCATAAATAAACGCACTAATTATAAGTGCATCGCTCGAGTGGCTATAGTGGATGTAAATTTGCGGAATTTAAGCGCGATTCATTTCGCATAAAAAAATATATCGCAAACTGTAAATAAATATATACAGGCCTGTGAGACATAGTCTTTTTCGGTTGTAAATTCGTAAATAACGAGCGTCTTTACGTCCACCATTAGCCAGTGTGGCATTAAATTAACTAAAAATTAGTGAAAGCCAACCAAAACCAGGAGTTACCATAAAGGCGTGGGTAGCGAGAAGTTGCTGCTGGATTTGCTGTTGAAGGTGATGGTGTGGTGCCGGAGGTGCCGGTGCCTCCTGTTCACCAATGACGTAATTGGAGAACACACCAACAATCAACCACAACCACGTGAGCCACAGCGGCAAACATAGGGGAAAGACAGGCAGTCATAGTATAGGGTTCAATGTCGTAGCAACAAATATGAATGTATGTCATGAATAAAAAAGAAAACCGAGGAAACGTTAATATAAACGAGGAAGTGTCACTCATTCGAAACGAGATAATGATGACCTCGCGCGTGTAACGAAAGCGATCGCCTCGTCGACTCGGAAAAGAACGGAACGTTTCCTCGTCGGATCGTTTTCGATGATTTACTCGGATCGATCAAAATTTACCCGAGTTATCGCGTCAACGACGCACGCGATGTCACGTGAAATTTTGACGAGTCGACGAAACTTTACCGCGCCAAACCGTTGCCCTATCGCTCGGAAGTTCGGCATTGTGTTTCTCCCGTAATTAATGAATCTTCCTCTATCGCGAATGATAAGTATATGAGTGATATTAAAAATTTTTGCGATAACAATCCAACATGTCCGCACCAAGTTCACCATGTTCTTAACTTGCGTTTTATATTCTTGAAAAGTAACTTGACTTTAGAAATCATTCATGGAAGAATCCTTGAATATAAAAAAATACATTTATAAATACATCTCGAGTCTAAAAGTAATATTGAAAATAGTAAAAAGTAAAAGTAAAAATTATAAACATTGCAATATCAAAAAGACTGACTAATATAAAATGGAAAATTACATCGTTACATCGAAGAGACTCGATTTTACAAATTGACTGTCTATCAATGTATGTGGATAAATCAGGTTTTACTCTAGGAAATGGGGATAACACTGACCAAGAACATGCGACGTGCTGAACTTTATTTCTTAAAAACTTTATCTCTCAGTGCAATGCCCGCAAAAAAAAAAAGAACGCAGGTAAATATGGACGGCGAAGTGCTGCGCTTACGTGTGACTCTAGCGTTATCGATAGAGCTTGTAAACTTTAATCCAAAGTTAACATACGACAAATCGCATACGCAAATATATGCCTTCTAACATTAATAGCGCCTAGCTTTGAGAATATCGCGACACTAATGTGAGTGAAAGCTTTAGACACCACGCCGTCGATAATCTACGCAACGTTGCCTACCGTAAAAAGATAATCTAGGTTGGTAAACCCTCGAACTAAACACAGATAAAATTCAGATCTTACGGTCGGTGAATAAAAAAGAAAGTATGTGAATATGTGGACAGCAGAAGAAGTGTTGCAACGAGGAAGTGTTAATTTGTCGGACATACCACTGCGGGTACCTGCCCGGGCACGAGAGGCTGACCCGGCGTGAGGCCCTGCTGAATCTGCTGCATCAGCGCGTTTTTCAGCGCTAAGTGGTTGCGCCCGTTTATCAAGAGTTGGTCCTTCAGATGCTGCGGGGGATGGAAATACTTGCAAGGTGGCTTCTCTCGATTACACCGGCCCTGAAACAAAGATGCACGACGCATCGCGTTTAAACGCTGCCATCAAAACTCGCCGCAATTACAAACTCGCGATCAATTACAATAAATATTATAGTAAATTAATATTTATTTTAATTTGATCATTGAGCGATAAACGATATCAAAAATTCTATTTAACAAACGGCTTGAAAGAGTCTACGTTCGATTTATAAAGTTTTGTTTATAAAGTTGCGATACGCTTATAATAATAAAGCCTTCACCAAAATCAATTGAATAAATTAAAAGGCGCCATCTTCTTAATCGATATTAAAGCAATAATAAAATTATCGTGTAACTGTTATACACTGGAGTTGTATTGTTCACTGAATTTCTTTCCAGTTTGTCCTCCGTCGAAACGATACACAATTATTCCGCGCAGTATTGTTTCAACAATTAATATTGCAAGCTGGATGAATATCGACTATAAATGTATTAATAATGAAATTGGATGAGGGGTCGCAAAATATAATCCCAGGTATTCCGTATCGTCGCAGGCATAACGATCGGTGAGATATCTGATATTCGTATCAATGATACTATAATATAATAATGCAGATACTAATTTTGCGATGCTGCACGCTCATAATAGTCATAATTACGTATACACATATATATATATATATATATATATAT